ACTACCAAAACGCCCGTAACTAAGAAACAAATGCTAATTCGATGATGCCGGCTGGCACACTGATTCACTATGAATGTAGGCCGCACCCCCTAGCGGCAGAATCTCGTACTACATCCGGTTCGCCCTCTACTGACTCAGCCTGGAAACTTTCCGATCGCACCTCGTATAGGCCTTGCGCGTATTTCCGAAGTTATGTGACGTTCCCAGTTCCTTCCACATCAGCCAGAGACCTGGCGACGCAATTCAGAAGCTGTCGTGATCTTCCAGAAGCCATCGTACGCAGTAATACACGGATTAAATTCATCGTTTTGCCCAGGTTCGTATCAGTCAGCATGTGAGCCCAGCATTCACACACTATCAACCAGAAACTTGCCATATCCGTCGGTAAAAACGTGCAGGAGTATAACTGCGCTGTTATTAATTTTATTGATGTTCTCCCATTTGCTTGCTTATTTATTTATTTAATCTTGGTTTACTTGACTACGCTGCCAGAATCTGAAACTACGGAGCATCAAATTAAAGATGATTTTAATTCTTAATTAATTTAAGAAGATATTAAAAATGAGTTTGTGTTCGAATTTATGGTATTATTCCAGCGCATGCCTGAAGGGACTGAGTAAAACCACGACAACCTCAGTCGGGATAGCCAGTCTCCGGACCGAGATCTTATCCAGAGATTTACTTAATGCGTTTTTTTAGGAATGCTAACCACTCGACAGCGTCTTCCCGTTCTCCAGTTTATTCTAAAATATATTGCAATTAATTAAATTCTTTATTTTCAAGAGCATAATTAGTTAGTTGAACCTGGAAACAAGAAAACATTGGCATTCGTCTGGCGATAACGAGAAAATTACAAGAAAAATTGAAATCAGGTCAGTTGGTGACCCAACAAGATTCGAACTGGGCATGATTCTAATACAAGTCTACATATTTGTTGCTCGATACAACCAGTTCACATCGACATGTGACACTTTTGTCTGGAAGGTCCCTACATCCACTCTGTGAGTCTGCGGTATTTCGTAAGCAACATTGGCCGCTACTGTTCATTTCCAAGGTCATTTCCGAAAGCTGACGGTCCCTAAAACCACTACCGTTCTATCGTAAAAGAGACTGGTAAGTGGCAGACAAATTGAATCACGTAGTGATGCAAACTGCAGTGTCACGTGACGTCTGACCGTTAACCTGTTGATTGAACGTTCATCTCAACTCACCACGGTCTTCGATACCTTTCACAATGTCTATGGAATTGAATATAAAGAATAGAAGACGCGAGATGCGAAACGCCTGGTAGCACAATGAGACGACAGTTGTAGCAAAGAAGAAAGATATTGTTAACTTACAACTGATTAATCACCAATTAGTTTGATTAAGGTGAAGTTACTTAACTGAGCACCATGCCATGCTTAGGCTGTTTCTTGTGTTGTTTAATGCAAGAAACAGACATTGAGGAATTCAGGCTGACGAGACTTCCCCGACTAGCAACCAACAGGAAATTTAAGTTACATCGTCATCTGCCACTTGCTGTTTTCTAGAGGTTAAAGCTACAAAATACTGAAGTGGGGCTGAAATCCGGCGAAGGTGATTTTCACGTCTTGAAAACTAAGTACGATAGAAGTAAGTCGCCAAGATCGAAGTTCTATGTTTAGACGAGGAGATTCCAAGAACGGTCATAGCCCCTAGTAAATTGTCCTGCTTCGAACGGCGGTGAAGATTTTGGGTTTATAGATGACATAATGATATTAATAATTTTATGAGATTTACCGATACGTATCGATAACCAGGCCTGTGGTAGATCTTTGGGCAACAAACATTGATAATAAACGAAAGCATTTGATAAACTTTCCCGCAATAACATTGCGTGCATTCTGCTAGTAACATAACGCGTTATTTTAAATACATCACCAATCGGAAGTTCAGTTCATCTTATACACAGATAACAGATTAAAACATACACTGCAAAGAACATACTACATGTATTATTGCAGATCTAGTTCATATCGCAGCGTTGAATAGTGAATCAACCAACAGCACGATTTTATAGAACAAAAACATACCAACTGTAGATAGCCTACTCAACAAATCATCACAAAATAGAACCATAATCTACGAACGTGCCTGCCTGCAAGGGAGTATTTGATACAAGGCATCATTATGTTAACCACAACATGAACAGATTCTACACGTCTAATGTTCAACCCCAACAAAACTGCGACTCAAGATAGTACACATGAGGTTATCAGTACAGTTTAACACTTGACAAAAAGCTGACTTAGATAATAGCCCTTTAAAAAATACATTCCATCCTTTAATAGTGCTAATAAAAGTAGGCTTTAGCACAACTAACTCCAGCCTCAACTTAGAAGTACAACTTAGCATTGGGTGTACTTTGGTGCATTTAGTTTATTTTAATAACTGACTATATATTATTTAATTAATGGAACGTACTGCAACAACAACATTTAATGATGACAGTGAATACAATTTTACATTTACCACAAAAATTTAGTTTTAATTTATTTGTTATTTATCATTATTAGACTGAGATTTCAGGTTCACCCAGAGGCGAATAAGTAGATGGCTGTCTTCTGGGCGATCGCCCTGATGATTGAGGAAGCAAGCACCTCTGAAATTCCGGTAAACTTCTACCAGACCAACAACCCAGAAGACTGACATCTTCATCTTTCGAGCGGTTTGCGAGATAGCCAGAGGCCTCAAAATGGACTAATAAAGTTCGAAACATTTTGTCTCGTAAAATAAACATCGAGACATAAATTTACAATATATTTGTCGTGTGGGGATGTCATTTAGTAATATACAGGCACACCCAAAACATGACTCTTCAATACAATCTTATGTTTCTTTAAAATAACTAGCCCAGCAACTCAACAAACGAGCCATGCAAGACAAAAGTGTAGATATTTTTTCTTGTGGTTTTCCTCATGCATTCCACATCCTTTCAATTAATTATTCATTAATCATTGTATCATTTGACGGTATTATAGTCTGAGTTACTGACAGCGTCGTTAAATAAATCATAAATAAATAGATTATTCGCATAAATCATACTAATTCAACGAAAATCAGTGGTATAATCACAATATATTTATTACATGCGCCAAATAAAGCGTTGTCCATGCTCCTATTATCGCCCTATCTTCTGCGCACTCGATTTACAACGCATTCTGTATTACTTACACAGCGAAGAGGATGAATGTGTATACGAAGAGCATCATCAATGTAACACACTGTTCTAATCGACTATCTCAGAAGTTGATTACGGGCTCACGGGAAGATTGCTACAGAGATAATTTTCCACCATGCTTCGTTACACAATTCCTGTCAGATAACGTGTGTGGAGCAAAGCTTCGAACCCAGATCATGTTTGGAAGGTTGGTGAAAAACTAACGTGACTTCATATGCACATCTGATGTGACGTAGAGCCTCCATCATCAGGGCGATACTCATCGCAGCAAGCACCTCTGAAACGTCGGTAAACTTCAACCATGCCACACGGCGCAACAACCAAGAAGACAATCATCTTCAAACACACCGCCGTGAAAGCCTCAAATCCTACAATTGTCAATTAGTTTTCAAAAATAGTATCAGGAGGGTTTTCTTAACCCTTGGATCCTAAGGGAAAACTATTCTTGGTCCGAGGGAATAAAAATTTTACAACATCCTAATATACACCAACGCCTAACCCACAAATACTGCAACGGTTCGTTAGTTACTGCATTCAGACGAAAATACTATGGACTTGAAGTGGTCATCATGTTGTTCTACATTCACACTCCGACAAAAATACCATTGTTCTTGATGTCCGTAACCACACTATTCCTCAAGCACGGGTCTCAAGAAATTACTTGAGGCATGAATCCATTTCCGAGCTGATAGATAACATCAAGGAGTTTCCTAGGTCAGTTTGTAACAGTGGCACTGTAGAGTTACTACACGTTTTCTTTCTACGACACGGCAAGCTAACTTTTACCACGTAAAACGACTTTCAGTTTCCTTGACTTACATTTTATATTATTATATTATTCTGTATTTTGCCTTCTGTTCAGAAGTAAGAGCATCCAAGGTCTACCGAAGCTGAAATCACAGCTGATAATTATTTTTTTTTTAAATAACGTTCTTCAGAGATATTGATGTTAACATTAGTGGATAGTAAAGTAAATGTAGTTTTAAGAAAATAGGGCCAGATTTATACGTTCTTTGTATCAAGGATTCTGAATGAAGGATTATGAAGGCAGAAACAGTTTCAGAAATGTTGTAAATAGCAGACGACAACATAATAGAATTTTATATCGAACATACTGATTAAAAGATACGAACGGATTCTTACGTCACTCAGCAATATCGTTCCAAAGTTTAAGGGCATTCTGGGTCCAATAAGACGAGAAGTGAGAGGATTTGGAAGGATGGAATCGTAGTTTATCTCACAGTAGAATCCTGGTGTTTGGTTATAGGAAATAAAGTAGACAAAGAAGAACTACGTCATAATATCCAAAAAGCGAGCCGAATTTTAAACCGGATACCTTGAATGTAAGTCTAGAAAGTTTCTCTAATTTTGCTGCTTAAAATTCTTGAATCTTCATTGAGAAAGTGAGTGAAGTTTCGGTCACGTTTCTATAAATCATTAAATATTATTCGAACAGTCAAACGCATATTTAAGTATTAAAATTCTGAAATTAAACACATAGATTTATTCATACAGGGGATATTTCGTAGTATCAGTTGACGCATACATACAGAAGACGGGGAATATCGACAGTTTTGCCACCAGCTACACACTCATCCATCACATTTTCGGGGTCCGTGAAGGACAGTTACGTAACCGAGAAGCTGAAATCAGTTCAGGTCGTTACGACTGCAGCTGGAAAGTACACGCGCCACTCTCTACACGGTCAATATTATTGTGCAATATTCAGTTTTGTACAATAATATTGGTCGTCTATGTTACGAATTGAAAGGTTGTGCAATATATTGTGTCAATCAAAAATGTTTTGATATTTAGGGTAGTATTTCTTTTCTGAATTCGAGAGGTAATCATTCTTAGCCGTTCATCAAAAGATTCATCATCTAGACGCAGAAAGTTCCGAAAGTCGCCTGGTTCACTCACTCTTAGGTCATTTAATAAGTTCTCATGAGTGTACTCATCTCTTTTTTTGAACCATTCCTTCATCCATCTTCGCTTTCTCCTTCTTCTTCAGACACACAGCCACAGCGACGGCCACACACGCAGCTTCTGTGTCACTTAACATGTTGACTGCACAAAAATCAAATGTGCACTGAAAATCGGCAGCTAAAATATTGGACAATAATATAGTACGGTCTGGAGCACCTCGCAATATTATTGTGCAATAAGATTGTGCAATAAAGCATTTCAGCATCAGTAAACGGTCCGTTGCTAATGCTGAGGTGAGTTTGAAATTTCTTTTCCTGACAATGGTTTTCCCCCTCCGGATTTCCGCGAATTTGCTCAGTTTCTAGAATCACTTTCCAGGATTCTACGTCCTTCCCAAGTCGTCAGTGAGTTGCACGAGTGTCCGTTTATCCTTCTCATTTTAAGCTATAGTTATTGTTACAGACATGAACACAGTGATAGAAGGAGGGGCACTGAAGATTTAGCAACTCCCCCCCCCTCCCAACATCAACAGAGCTGTCCCCAGGGGGGCTGCTGCCCAGCGCCCCGCGCCCCGCGCAGAGAGACAAAAAATGTGAAATACTTTGCTGAAGAACCCTAGATTTGAATTTAAGAAGGATCGTTTGAATTCCAGTTCCAGAGCCAAATTTGTTAAACTGAAATGTGTACTAGCATGTTTCTTGTTTGTGGTTTACTTAATGTGAATGTCAGTAGCTTACTATACAGCGTCTTATGATAGATGTTTAATGAATAGTAGATTAAAAAGTATGTGGAAGGAAGCAGCAGTGCCCTAATTTAATGTATTTACATTTTGACGAAAACCGGAGTTTTGGGATACCTTGTTGCAGGCATTGGGCATATTTACACCTGCCACTCTGTACAGTCGAGACAGGATTCCTCCATACTTCGTACAATGCGTGTCTTCACACTTCCAGAACACAAACCAGAATTTATTTAACTATATTTTGCTATTACTTACGAGGTGCGATCGGAAGGTTTCCAGACTGCGCGTATAAAAACCCGTACACTTATCTTAGGTATTAAATTCATCCATCACCCTCGAAGTAGTTCCCCTGGGAGTGAACACAACGATCCCAGCGCCGCTGCCAAGCATGGAAGCATCCCTGGAAATCTTTCTTTGTCAGCCTGTCAAGCACCATCTGCGATTCTGCCTGAATCTCTTGCCAAAGACTCGCCAAAACGGCTACGGAAACCTATGAAATGCTAAAGCAAGCATTTGGGGAGTCCGCAAACTTTTGTGTGGCATTCACGTTTTAAAAAGGGCCGAACCTCTGTCGATGATGACGAGAGTTCTGGACGACCATCTTCGAGCACAACGCCCGAAAATGTTACCAAGATTCGGCAGGCCATTCACGAAGAGCGACGTCGTACCATCAACGACTTGTGCGACATTGTTGGGATAGACTATGGGACCTGTCAGCTGATTCTAAAGGAAGAACTCCACATGCGACGCATCATGACAACGCACCAGCGCACACCGCCCTCAAAGTTCGGCAGTTTTTGGCCGTCATCCCGCACCCTCCTTATTCGCCGGATTTAGCTCCGTGTGACTTCTTCCTCTTCCCAAAGATGAAAATTCAGCTAAAGGGAAGGAGATTTGAGACGATAGAAGAGATTCAGACAGAATCGCAGATGGTGCTTGACAGGCTGACAAAGAAAGATTTCCAGGGATGCTTCCAGGCTTGGCAGCGGCGCTGGGATCGTTGTGTTCACTCCCAGGAGAACTACTTCGAGGGTGATGGATGAATTTAATACCTGAGATAAGTGTACGGGTTTTTATACGCGCAGTCTGGAAACTTTGCGATCGCACCTCGTAAGTACAGCAATCATAATTGATGAATCAGGATTTTGAAGACGTCGCTACGTTCCTAACAGCTGTTATTTGCGTGGAGTGACTTAGTAAAACCTCTATAGTTCATATGATGTAAAATAACAACCAAGAATAGTTAGTCTCGGGGCAGAAAACCACATTTCGTGACTATGCTACATTAACTATAAAAATTAATATATTTTTAAGAAATGTGTGAGGGTGAGTATCGGTGACAAGTGATAAATAAGACGGTGAAAGAGTCGTTAAATAAACTTTAAATATATTCTAGAGATAATGCTGCAATAAATTATATTATTGTTCAACACGAAAAAGGTTCATTTCTGTTAACTCTGATGGGTCATACTAAACTAGTTTTCAAATAATTTCTGACCCCCTCTAACGTAATCCACATTCATTATCATTCCCATCTTACATCACACAATTAATATAGCCGAAACAGCGTCGTTAAATAACCAGATAGTCAACTAACATTAACACAGCAAGGCAGCATATCACTTCTTGTTTCCCTTTAACAAGGGATTATGTGACTGAAATGCATGAGAAACGTGAATCTAAATAAACTTCGGGAAATTTATTGACCAGCTAAGCGACTACTAGTTTCTAAAGAAGAAATATTTTCCATGGAATTTGGCAAGTTCGAAATTCGCTAAAGTGTGTAAAACTTTTACCCCTTTTTTCCGATTTTAAATTCAGAAATAATGATGATCATAATAATAAAACTAATTTCCCTTTTCGCAACTTATAATATAGGCTGAACATAATTTAGCTTGAAAACTGTAAATAAAGTACTTTAGTTTATCTCTCAGAACACGACTGTTTTTAAGAACACAAATTTAACATTTCATTATGTTTGGGTGTGCATGCGTGTGTGTATATATATATATATATATATATATACACGCATATATATATATATATATATATATACAACACAAAAGTTTTGACGTATAAACCCAAATAAACAGATCGTATTTATTCATAGTTTATTTAACAACTCTTTATCAGGAGCTCAGACTGACTATAGAATGAGAGGATGGCAATAAATAATGAATTGGAAAGGCTGTCTCACTGAACACATCAAACAAACAAAAACCATTTTAAAGAGCATCAATGTCTTATAGAAATATCACACTCGAAGCATCGAAAGGGTTAGGATCGGGTATAGAACATTACGTCAGAACACAGCACCAAAAGACTACAAATAATTGAATCGGGCAAAGCGAAGTTAAACTCGATTGGGCTCACCTGTTGCTGTAGCAACTCCCGTGGAAGTTCAGGAGCTCACGAATACGGTCTGCTGGATACTGAGGTCAGCAGCGTTCTGATCCTTTCCCGGACCTCGCAGTAAGGAAATCTGAACCAGAAGGACTCTTAAAAGCGAGAGAGAGAGAAGCTTTATGGATAAAAGAGGTTAACAAGGGGAGAGCTGTGACATAAAAGTGGATACCTATATGCAGCGAGGGAGGGGGTAATGAAATAGAAGCAATAGAAGGGGGGGAATGAGTTCTCTAGAGGTGGAAAAGCTATTGATCGTCCATCCCCTCTCCGTTGTTCCCCCCACCGTGCTTCAACTCCTACTACAGTTCTCAGTGTGAATTACGTAGTATTGTTGGTTATCCTAAAGAGTGAGTCAGGGTAGTTTGTTTCATTGTTTGTCCTTAGAAAAAACTCCCTTACTGGAAGGGAGAAATGTGTAACATGATAATCATATTTGTGTTTTGCTGGACCAGAGTCACTGCCTCTTTTGAGATTCGGCGCGGTTTGAATTTAAAAATCAGCAGACGTTTTGTTGAAAGAATGTGTTGCACTGAAATTGCACGGTTCATTACGGATGTCCGCCACTCCCATAATCTGTTTTGTCTTAGGCATTGTCGTTCCCAGTCAATGTCTGGCAGCTATTTACAGTTGTTCCCTGCTTCATAAACCTTTGCTGTCCGATAAAAGGCGTGCCTCATACGATGACAGGTCTTATGTGCAGCAAGAAACTTGTTTCAAGGTCACTGTATTATGACGCAGAGTTTGATTACATTTTCGTCGCATGTTATTGCTTATTAAAGTTTTCATTATTTGGTGTTTAAGATCGAGAAGGCGACTGAGTAACTCGACATTCTGAAACGTTATTCAGATTTCAGTTTAGTCTGGTCTGGTCATGTCTGTCCGTCCGTCCATCTGCCGAGTCAATTAAACTCGAAAACCAGTGGACGGATCTGGATGAAATTTGATGTGGATTTTGTGCTATTCTGCACGACCTCAAAAAATCCATTTTGAAAATCCTACGAGCGGTGATAAAGTGACAAGTGAGGAGATTTGTGAGGTAGACATTGAGGTACTGCGATCTGGTGGCCAAAGTGGGATCTATCAAACAACTTTTAATTCCTTTTCAGACAGACTCTGTCTTTATTATATTCCTGTCAGATTCTTGATTTTGCTTTTCTGCACATCGCTTTTCACACACGATATTATTGCTACATCTATCAGTATACTGTTTTTAATTGTTATGTTTGGCTTATATCCCAGAAATTCCCTACCAGTTCGTATTGTTCCACAATACTGTTGTACCTTTATGATCTCAAACTGTCTTGGTTGTGTATGAGTACCAATTTCTTGTTGTTTCGATGTTCTGCTCCATGCGGTTGGCTAACGTAGTTTGATGGGCATAAAATACGACATTATTTTTACCTTTGCGCGAAGCCTTACATGATTACAACAGCTGCAATTTAGATGCACAAAATAAATTTTTGCAATTGGTACATTGCTCCATCTTCTTGGAAGAACAACTCACGATAACCAGAAATGGACAATGGGGGAATTCCATCAGACGACGTCAGATGGAGGAAGTTATAATCACCTGTCAGCTTTTACCAGTTTCACTCTTGACTCTGAATAACAGCTACTTTGTTCACAAGCAGACTCCTTCAGCGTACTGACAGAGCGAGAATGAATAACTGTTCTACCTGAATTAAAATATGACGGCAGGAGATTCAGCATCCATTTTCCATAGCCGTTTTCATATCTTTTGTTTAATTTTAGTGACGCTTACGATATTATTTTAAGTTGCAAATTCCAAGCGTTAAACTTTGAACAAACAAGCTAGAAGGTTGGTTTTAAAAAGTGTAATTATCAATACAGGAGATAATTTTGTGAGTGTGTGCACGTTGTTGCGAAATCGTTGCACTGCAAAGCAGGTTAGTTCAATCGGGAGGTCTAGAGATGTCGCAGGAATGTCATAATTTGCAAGCTTACTTTTCACCAAACATCGTTAGGGTAACACATTAAAAAGAGATGGGTGGGAAATGTAATAGGCATAGAGAAGATGAAAGGCAAACACAATTTTGGTCAGGAAACATGAAGGGAAGATATCACTTGGGAGAAAAATCATAGATGGAGGAAAATATTAAAATTCATCTTGGAATGAGTTCATCAGACAAGGTCCGATGGTGGTATTTAGTGAAAATGGTAAAGAAGCTACGTGTTTAATTAACGTCGATGAATTTATTGACTAGATAAGCTACTGCCAGTTTCAGAAGGATGACACTGCGCTATGAGGAACTATGTGGACAACAGTTAAAGAACCGCTGGAATCATAACGCAGAGGTAGCCGCTTCTGAACCAGAGTTCAGCAGAAGGCTTACCACACACGATCCCACTGACCAGATACGGTATTATGATGCTGCTAAACCTCAGATAAGACTGCTAGACCACAGCTGCTCAAATAATCTTAGGAGCCAACTGTCACGGATTTTTATGTATCAAAGAAAACAACTTTATCTGTCCATGCATTCTTTGTATGAGATTCAGAGGAGAACGTCGTCTGCATGTTTTATCTCTGAAACTGGTACATTCCGATTAAATTTAATTTGATAACTGTACACAAAACGTTGTTGACTATAAATCTGGTCTTAGTTAATTCTTATACAGTACCTGATTTGCAAGTTCAAATCGAACTGTAAGCTTCATCCTACAACAGTTAACTGACTCCACGAATAAAATAGCACAAGACTAAATATCAATCAATTTTATGTCTTCTGAGTAATTTATTCTTTTCAGACTTTCCAATAACAATTATGTACGCGCGAGGCAATGTCTGCACGGAATGTTGCGTCCTCCTCTTGTAAGTAGATAAGTCTTCCAAACATGGAGGGTAGCTACGAATACGGACCTGTTGAATAAACAGTTGCTGCTAGGTTGTCGGCAAGGCGATCCTCAACGTGGGGCCTGGACTGGGCACTAGCAACTTATCACAGCAAGAATTGAAAAGAGGAAAAGAAAACGAAATGTTACACGCGGACTTTGACTTCGACGAATACTTTACGACAACGGAAAGTAGATTAAAAAATCTTATACAAGTTCTACAGTAAATATTTCTAAATACAATATTTACTTAATGCAGGCACGGTAGTTAAACTATGTACCTTTCATTAATAACAATTTTAATAAACCATTTCAACGTCTATATACATGTCAGGATGGGGTATTTTTTTCCGGTTATTAATCAGTGAGGCACGGCTGATGACTTAAGTGTGAATGCTGAGTGGTATGGAAGTAACGTCCTTGATTTACTTTCAACCCACACGATGAAAGGAAGAAGTGATAAAATGACGAAAAACATTTATCAAGATTCCCTGTCCCCGGTCTGGAGTCGAACCTGTTACCGTCTGAATAAGAACCACACTTTATCGTTTCCCTAATCTTCATCAATAAAGTGAAAAGAGTTTGAAGAATTCTAGCACTGGGTCTGAGTTTCGAGCCAAGGTGGACACTTGGACGAAACTTCACGTAGCTTCTGGAACGCCACACTGGAGTCGCGCATTCTTTCTGATCCATTTCTCTCCCTCCTTTGAACAGCATTTTATTCTCTAGAATCTCTTTAAAACATTTTCCCGTTCTTGTGACGTAGATTCTTTTCCTTCCAGACTTACCGCTTTTTATTATTCTCGAGGATTTTCCACTTTTTTTGCTCTTGTTTGAACTCTCTTTTTCCATTTGCTAGCCTCTCGGTCGCTATGTAGCAGATTGAACAGCGTCCGGTTGCTAGGATACAGCAGGCGGTGCAACAAGTCGAACCTCTGTGTTACTAGGGCAAATGCTCTTCGCAGAATCACGAGTCTGCTCAGATTCAACGGACGAATGATGAATACATTCCACCTGTTTTAACAATCAAAGTAAATCCTCATTTTATATTTATGGGTTTTCGTATGATTTTCGCTGTGAACAGGGACTATTTTCTTACACAGAGTTAACCAGCTGATCGTTATAAAGGCAAAGATTTGTGTTTTATTCACGGTAAGGACAGAATTCTTAAATTTTAGACACGCTTAGACTTCCAGACTGAATCTTGTGTTTACCTAGCCTTCTTACAAAATGGGATATTTATGACCAGTGGAGTCATCAGGGCGTGAGGCGCTCTATTCACTGTCAGCTAGTACCGAGATTAAGAATGTGTGGAGCTTTACTTCCTCGACTCCATACGCCTTAATGCATAGCAAGACAGATGACCTTCACATTCCACTTTCATTACACAGAGTTCTGTTTTAGAGGCAGGCCATAAAATGTATAAGCCCGATTGCTTGGATCCGTTCATATAACCACATTTATTTGTATATACTGTTCAATTTGTGAACTATTTATTTTCATATATTTCGCAATAAATACACAGGAACATTCAGAAATACGCTACAGATGTAACATAACACAATTCCTTGCGGTGAATCGAAAATATATTCCTAAATACCCGGAGGCGCAAATGTACTGTCTTTTGTCTCCCATCCAGCTCAAAGAGAGACTCATTTCCGTTCCTGGCCATCAGATGTCAGGCACAGACAAAATTCAAGCTATGTTTCCGCTCCAAGAAACCGCACGTATTGGATTCACTTAAGACAAAGGTTTTTGGATAAGACGGTTCTCATGTGTTCTTAGAAGGCTCCACTATATTATTAGTCAAGTACGTCTGCTCCGGAGCAGAAATGCCAGTAATTGCAACAACACGGCAAATTTATAGATTATTGCACAGAGATTTTATTTTTAAAAACCATATATTATGAGCCGGCGTAGCTCAGTCGGTATAGTGGCTGGCTATGGTCTGGGCGACGGGGGTTCGATCCCCGACGGGGGCAGAGGATTTTTTTCTTTAGCCTCTGCGTCCAGACCGGCTCTGGGGCCCACCCAGCCTCCTCTACAATGGGTACCGGGGTCCTTTCCCGGGGGTTAAGCCGGCCGGGGCGTGATGCTGACCACTCACCCCCATCTAGTGCCGAGGTCAAGAATGAGTAGGAGCTACACCTCCACTCACCCCAAACGCCTACATGGCGAATATGGGACAGCTTTTTAGACCAGATATTACTAAAACCTAAATAGCAGTAAGATCAAATTTTGTGTAATTTTCTTTAACGTGAAACTTCCTTTACTTC